CCTATGGGTCCCAGATTAAGAGACAATGGGTGTGTATCATTAGGTCAGATATGCATCACTATACTTGACATTACATTTCGTTACATTGCGTATCTTTATCATTTGTGAACTTGCAGGTACTTTTCTATGGAACTTGTGAGTAATTGTTGAAGTGATATTGTTGAACTATGTGCTATGTAAACAGTAAATTGTTTAATATTAGGTTGGGCTGGTTTTATGCAGGTTGTAGTTGTGGAGGTTCGGTTGGCGTGTAAGGAGTACCTGTATTCTATACCCTTAACTTTGTGTTTAGGAGTTTGTTTGATGAGTACTGTGTGGTTTGGTACACACCCCTTGATACTCACTCTTCTCTTCTTTTTCCGAGGCTTTTTGTGGAGATTTGTGAGGTAGTTGCTTGTCATCTTAGCGGATCCTCTTAGTCCTATTTATGATTTTTTTCTACTTTAGAGTCAACATCATTTAAGACTTACATACTTTCTTTCAATTCTATTGTAATACATTAGAGACTTGTACACGTGAGAACCATGTTTTGGAGATTTAGTTAAGTTGACTTGTTATTCGCATTATTAATTGTTATTAAACTTTTATTTTTATTTTATTTCCACACTTTATCGTTATGGTTGAGTTTTAGGCCGACTTGTCTTGGTGGGATAAGACGAGTATCTTCACCTCTATTTTTGGGGTCGTGACAGGAGACTCTGAACCGTGAAGGAGGAGCAGAAGCTACTAGTTGGAGGAGGCTAACGCGAAAACCGCTTGGAGGTGGCTAGAAGGTGGAAGCCACTGGCTTATGTAGAAGCCGACGACTCGAGCGTAAGTCGTTTCGTGGCTCGCTTTTCATGAGTCATTTTTGTTAGATTGGTAGGAACAAATTTATTCCAAGCTCTGATATCAAATAATACAATATAAGAATATGGAAAATGACACCTAACACTAAAAACAAGAAATAAGATAAAGAATAGGAGAAAAACATAAGTAAAGGAATCAATTGACAATAATAGTTATACCAAAGCTTAAACCTCCAATTAAGAAACCAAACAAGCACCAAATCTATAACCACATAAGATAAATGAGTTCGAGCTTGTTCATTATTATTGGGAGGCCCAAAACACTAATTTTCAGGAAAAAAAACACCTTTTAAAGAAAATTAAGGTGTTTGACTAATTAGCAAAATTGCTTTTAAATGAAAGTAGAAACAATTTTTTCCTGCAGTTTGAAGCAGCTAAAAATTCTTGCTTCTTGAAAAAGACAAAAGCAGAAACAAAAGCAAAAGCAAGAAGTTATTTATTTCAAGACTAAAACATTTCTGTCATATATACATATTTACCAATATATTTCTTATATTTATTTATCTTTGTGGTGAATTTTTCGTATGCAGTGCTTTAATTTGTAGAATAATTTTCAAATTTATTATGCTTGTAATTATATTTAAATCATCATGTTAATATTATATCAATATTTAATTTGTTTTTTATTCATCTATTTATAATATTGATTGAAAATTTAAATTTGTACGTTTTAATTTAATAAAAATAAAATTTAATTAATTTTCTTATAATAAATATTTAAAATGATTTATCTCTATAAAATAATCTTAATATAAAAAGTGCAATATACTTATCCTCTTTCGTAATTTGACTCTCAAAAGTATTTTTTTAAAAGATTAACCAAACACAATTTGCTTATCCAAACACTTTTTCAAATGAATAGTATATGGAGATGCAAACACGAAATACTTTCATGCACAGATGAAGCTGAGAAGTAGCAGAAATACCATTACTTCAATTCATGATGCAAATGGAAACAGGCTCCAAGACCCTAACTTGATGGAGAAGGAGTTTATCTCTTTTCTTACTAAGCTTATGGGAACAACAATAGAACAACTGCCATGCCCATATATATTAGAAAAGTCCCATGTTTAACCTATGACCAGAAATGCAGTCTAATTGCTCCAATGACTGAGCAAGAAATATGTGATGCACTAAGGGGAATGACTAAGGATAAAACACCCAGAATAGATGGGTATCCAATGGAGTTTTTTGTGAAGCACTGGGAGATTGTCAAAGAGGATGTAGCAGGTGATGTGATGGAGTTCTTTAACACTGGCAAGTTGCATAAGGAAGTTAGTTGTACAACTATTACTTTAGTCCCTAAAGTAACTACACCTAACCAGGTAAATGATTATAGACTTATTGCATGTTGTTCGACCATCTATAAACTTATTGCATGTTGTTCGACCATCTATAAACTCATTACAAAGGTTCTCACCAACAGAATAAAACTAGTGATTGGCACACTAGTAAACCCTTCTTAGTCTGCCTTTATAGAAGGAATGAGTATTATTGATAATATTTTGTTTAGTCATGAACTTTTGAAGTGGTACAGTAGGAAAGGTTTATCTAGATGCACCATGAAAGTAGACTTAAGAAAGGCTTATGATTCCATTGGGTAGGAATTTTTAATAAAACTGCTTACATGCCTAGTCTTCCCTTTCAAGTTTGTGAATTGGGTAATGGAGTGCATATCCACAGTTTCATACTCATTAATCATTAATGAAGGGTTAACACCATTGTTCCAAGGAAAAAGGGAAATCAGGGAAGGAGATCCAATGTCACCCTACTTGTTTGTCCTAGAAATGGAGTATCTTCAAAGAGATTTGAGTATGCTGAAGGAGATACCTTATTTAAAGTTTCATCCTAAGTGTAAGCAGTTTGGAGAAATGCAATTTGCTTTATAGATGATCTCTTGAAGTTTTGCAAGACTGATATTGATTCTATACGATTGATGCAATATGCTTTTCATAGATTTTCTGTAGGTTTTGGATTACATGCAAATACTGAGAAAAGCTCCATATATGTTGCTGGAGTGAAACCTGATTTGAAAAAAAAACAATTTTAGCTACTTTGGGCTATGTTGAAGGTGAGATGTCGTTGTTCAAATATCTAGGGGTGCCTATATCCTCTAAGAGACTCACTATAGCTCAATGTATTCCTTTGGTGGAGAAGATAACTGAAAGAATAAGATGTTGGACAACTAAACTACTCTCTTATGTACAAAGGATCCAGATATTGAAGTCACTAGTGTTTGGGATGCAAACTTATTGGGCACAAATCTTCATATTACCAAAAAAGATGCTGAAATTGATTGAAGGGGTTTGCAAAGATTGTCTATAGACAAGTTCAACTCTGAGTTCTAGGGAAGCACTGGTTTCATGGGAGAAACTTTGCCTTCCAAAGTCAGTTGGGGGTCAGAATATAATCAACCTTAAAGTTTGGAATAATGTTGCCATCTTGAAGTTGTTTTGGGCAGTGCATGAGAAAAATGATTGTCTTTGGATCAAATGGACACATACTTTCTATATAAAAGGTGAGGAGGTGGAGCACTGGTCTATTTCATCAAATGCCACTTGGGTGATATAGAAGATTCTGGAGACCAGGAAGGTCCTTAGGCAAATATTGGGACCAAGTTAGGATCAGAGTTGAATGGAGTGATGGTAGTTACTAAATTCTCTATCCATCAAATGTACACCAATCTAACACCACAACATCCTAAAGTAAGTTGGAAGAGCATTGTCCATCTTAGACATTAATTTATTCTCTTGTTAGCAGCTTGGAGAAGATTGGCTACAACAGAAAGACTACAAAAGTTTGGCATAAATGTGCCCTGCTGGAATGCAGCTATTATGCAGATGCCATATAAACTTTTGATCATCTCTATTTCAAGTGTCCTGCAACTAGAGCTTTTTGGGCTAGATTAGTGAACTGGCTAGGCATAAACATGCAAATATGAAGCTGGAAGCATGAGCTTGCATGGGAAAATGGATGGGCAACAAAGAGTAATGTTAATGGAGCAATAATCAATTGTGTATTTGCAATGGTGGTCTATGTTATATGGAGAGCAAGAAATACTACCACGTTTCAAGATACACCATACCAATGCGATAGTGTATGCAAGGAGATTAGCTTATACATTCATATTAGAGGAAGAGACCTAAAGAAGTGGAAGGAGGCATTGAAGAAGATAGATCATCTGCCATGAGGCCTGCGTCTGTTTGTTTATCTTTTGATTAGAAGTCTTCTCCTGTCTTGTTTAAGTGAATCTTTAGTTATGATAGTAACCTTTAATCCTAGCTAGAATGGTTTGTGGTAGAATTTGAGAAGTAGATGGGCAACATCTACTTGTTTAATTACGCTTTTTTGGTTTTAATAAAGTTGACAATTCGACCAAAAAAATGAATTAATCAAACACAAATTGTTATTTTTTAAAAAACACTTTTCTAAATACATATTTTAAAAATATACTTGTAAAAACAAGTAATTTTTAGTAGGAATGCTCGAATTCTCAAACACAAAATCAATCACTAAATAACCCTCAAAGTAATATTACTCATATTAGGGATGTCAATGAGGAGGGTGGATGCGGGGTGGGGTGGGTTTAAGGCTATGCGGGACGATGCAGGTTTAAGGTTGTGCGGGGCAAAAGTGATGCGGGGTGGGTCAAAGTTGTTTTTTTAAAAACTAATGCGGGTTGCATGTATATGTTATTCTATGCGGGTTCAAATTTATTTTAACTTTTTACATGTTATAAAAGTGATAGAATATTATTTATTAATATAATTTCTTTAAACCTACTAAAATATTCAAGATAGTAAATGAAAATGATTTAATAAAAAATAATATAATTTCTTACTTGTTTCCCAATTGACCTCTAAAATATAATTTTTTTATATCATTATCTATTAAATTAACACAACTTAATGAAAAAATAAATTTATTTTTATTAATTTTTTTTTTAATATCAAACTTAATTAGAAAAAAATATATTTAAAAAATCATGCGAGGCGGTTCATGCAGGGCTTGTCTATGTGGGGTGGGGGGTTGAGAATGAGAAAAAATGTTATGCGGAATGGGGCGGGTTAAACTGCCCCACACCAGCCCATTGCCATCACTAACTCATATATATGTGGCCATAACAAAGTGAATTGGAAAGAGCATATATGATACTAATTATATTTGTTATCATATTGCCTTCCCCACTACTCCCTCGTTCTCCTGTCCAATGGCTGAAATGAGTGTTACCAATACCACCGCTTCACTTCAATCCTTTCCTAAATCACCTCTCTGCTCTCTCTCAACCACAAAATTTAACTCTCCTTACCATCCTTCAGCTATTGTATCTCCCATTCCCAGGTTTTGCTTAATATCTAAATACAATTCGTTTTGTTTCTCTGCTGCTGTTGTGAAGGCTGCTTCTTCTTCACACGCAAATACAAAGGACCCAATGCTTCCTCCTTACAATGTCTTAATTACAGGTGGTTCCAAAGGTTAGTTCAATATTTTTCAATGTACAAATGGGTTATCATAATTTTGTCTTGATTGCGGATCCCTGTCTTAGTGTACTTAGGTCTTTGTTTAGGGTTCTATTGATGTTAAACATGTTCATTTTATCTCTAACTTCTCTTTTTGCAACTTATCTTTGTGAAAAGCTACTGACGAACTTGAAAATGTATGGCAAGAGGGGTCAATACCATTGCCAAAAGTCAAACAAGATTGAATATGGTGTACAATCAGATACAATGACCTTATTGCCAACCTTTTTATGTTCTGAGTTGAAGTTGATTATTAAAGGCTCGGTTTGAACTACATTTCACTAGGACAATGGTGATGTCTTATATATTCTGACTAGTCATATGAAGTATACAACAACATGAAAAAGTTTAGTGTTAGAAGGTGTTAGTTTTTTAATGTTTGAAACAACATGACTAGTCTTAATGTTTGACGTACTCCTTGGTCTCCCTTTTGCAACTTCATATTGGTTCATTGTCACTTGGGTTTTTGAAGATGTTCCCAAGGGTCGTGCAGTTTCTTCTGCTGAAACAAAAGAATATGAGGGATCACCTAAATGGCAGGGGAAATATAGTTTGCATAGTAGTGAAGACGTTATTTTTTTTTTTTGATGACAAGGGAAACCCGTAGCCGCTACCCTTTGGGTGCGCACAAGGTAAAACCCCCGCTCCTATGCAATAACTCGCAAACCACATGAGAGAGGTAACCCGCACTAGGCAAGCCCGGTGCGACGAGCTCGACCCTGAAGGCAAACCCCTTGCTTTCGCTGGAAACTCGGCAAGGTGTTTCGACCTTGAGACCTCCAACATGGAAGTCCCAATCCCAAACCACTGGGCCAGACCTTATTTATCATGGTGGAATGATGAAGCTTAACTGTTGATGGTGTGAACTAAGTAAACTTTATAGCTTTATACTGAAGAAGGCCAAGTTTCTTTAGCTGGAGTGCTATAACATGCATCTGGATTTGTAGTTCCTTTGAGTGCCTTTAATGTCTCCTTTTCCCTGATAATTCAAAAAATGCAACGGTTTGGTTATTAAAATGTTTAATTTCTTGGTTCATGGTTGAAACAGCCGCCAACGTCTATTTATATCATAGGTGGTCACGTGAACCTTTCTGTAACTCGATTTTATTGTTCTTTTAATGTATTACGACTCTCTTCATTTCTTTTTTTTCATTTTGATCATTTGTGTAGTGACTGGGTGTTTGTATGCTGAAACTCAACCATGTTTTTGTGTAATCACTGGAAGACATGACTTTGTATTAGATAGGGATATAATATGTTCAATCTCCTGTTGCTTGGCAACTTTAATAGAATTCTTTACCTTCTAGCAAAACCATTATATTTGTAGCTAACAACATGTGCTCGTGGATTATATTTCAATTTGCTTACTTTGTTTCACAAAGTGGTTACATGGACACAAAACAAGTCACTCTGAAATATGCAACTGTTTCTATTTTTGTTTATACTTAACTGCAGATGTCTAGAATTGACGTTATTTTATTATTTCAGGAATAGGCTATGCATTAGCTAAAGAATTTCTCAAGGCAGGTGATAATGTCCTCATTTGCTCCAGATCAGGTGATTTCATATCATAAGTGACAATACCTTTTGACTTCAATGATGTCATTAACCAATAGACTTATTGGTTTTCTCATTGTTCAGTTCCTCTATTTTTTTTGCTTTATTTTATAGTTTGTGTAAAAGGTAGTCAATTGTGTAAAAATGAAATATGCAGAATAAATGGTGGGATCACGGCAATAGATGTGCCATTAGTGGTGTACCATAGTTCGAGAGTCATGATGATATAGGAGGAGTTTGGATACATCATAGGTGATGAATTGTCCCAAAATGCAAGGCTGAGATTCAAACTCTGCCACTGAGGGGGAGGGGGATGTTGAGATTTTGCCAAGTCATCACTGAACATTAGTTTAAATGTTTGGGGGTTCTTTCCCTAGCTAAACCGAAAGAAAGTGTAGTTTTTGCCAAGCTTTCCTTTTAGAAAGATGTCGTGCCCAAACTTATCTTGGACTCGAGAAATGTTTTTGATATTTTTTCTAGAAAACTTAAAGCCATCCCTAGATCTTGACAATGAAGACAAATATTTGTTCTATTAGGATGAAATATGAATAATGAACTTTTATTGACCTATCAATTTTTTTATAAAAAAGAATAAACGGAATACGACATGCAAAGCTCTCCAAAAACCGATCGCAGTGTGAAACTGTCTGACAACCAATCTTTATTATTCATTTCGAATAGAAAAGAAATTCAAAGCTTTGAGCCAATGAAGATTGAAGACTGAGAGAATTGTATTGCTGATTTTATTTTGAGCTCCTTGTTACAATTTGTTTTATAATTAAGAATTTATGTGACTACTTAAGTGCATATTTTTATGTTCACTAGTCTTTTGGAACACACTTACTCCGTGTCAACAACAACAACAACAACAACATACCCAGTGTAATCCCACAACTGGGTTTGGAGAGGGAAGGATGTAGGCAAACCTTACCCTACCTTTGTGGTGGTAGAGAGACCGTTTTCGATAGACCCTTGACTCAAAGTCTGTAGAGTGATGTAAATATTGATAAAGGAAATAAAGTTAAAGAAAATGTAAGTTCCTAAAAATGATAAATGGTGATCCTATTTAATCAACTCGATAAAGAGAAAGCATCGGGCTTCACAAAAGTCCTCGAATGTCTTATTGTAATTCAATATATGGGTTGTGTTAACTTGAGTAATATAATGAGTTAACCTGTACTTACATTGCTCCCCACAATGTTTTTGACCTTCTATTGTTTTTATACTTCATTGAGGAAACTGTGAAAAATATAGGAAAATATATTATTGAGTTGTGTTCTAATTATTACATAGAGAACCCTATTTATAAACTATTCCTATTATGTGTAGGATTGTGTATACCTATTCTATTCTAATACTCCCCTCAAGCTGGTGCATACACATTATATGTACCTAGCTTGTTACAAATGTAATTAACGAGGATCGGTGAGGGACTTGGTGAAGATATCTGCAAGTCGATCATTTGACTTCACAAATTTGGTAACAATATCTCCTGAGAGTATCTATCAATCTCAATGTGCTTAGTCCACTCATGAAACACTGGATTTGATGCGATATAAAGGGCTGCTTGATTATCATACACAAGTTCCATATGACAGTTCCATATGACTGGTTTCTCCAAACTTAAGTTCTCCCAGCAACTGTTTGATCCAAACTAGCTCATAAGTTGCTACAACCATTGCTCGATATTCTACTTCTACACTGGATCGAGCAACCACACTTTGTTTCTTACTCTTCTATGACACTAGATTACCTCCTACTAAAACACAATATCCTGATGTAGAACGTCTATTAAAGGGTGATCCTGCCCAATCAACATTTGTATATATGGTGTTATGCTCATGGCCTTGATCCTCGAAGAGTAGTCCTTTACCAGAAGCTGACTTTATATATTGCAGAATATGAACATTTGCATCTATCACAAGGAGAAGTCATACACGGACTTACTACACTCATAGGAAAAGAGGTGTCCAGTCTAGTCACCGTGAGATAATTCAACTTTCCAACCAACTGTCTATACCTTTCAGGATTACTGAGTTTCTCCCTCTGTCCTGGAAGGAGTTTAACATTCAGATTCATAGGAGTGTCAATGGATTTACATCCCATCATCTTGTCTCCTCAAGAAAGTCTAAAGCATACTTGCATTGAGAAATAACAATACCTAATCTAGCATGAGCAACCTCAATACTTAGAAAATTCTTCAGTCCGTCGAGGTTTTTAGCTTGAAAATGCTGAAAGAGATACTGCTTCATATTAGCAATACCAACTTGATCATTGGCGGTGATAACGATATCATCAACGTAAACAACCAAATAAATATAATTTGGTGCTAAATACCGATAAAACACAGAGTGATCAGCTCCACTACGAGTCATGCCAAACTCCTAAATTACTGTGCTGAACTTTCCAAACCAAGCTCGGGGAGACTGTTTTAGACCATAGAGTGACCAACGCAATCGACATACAAGGCTACTAGACTCCTCTTGAGCAACAAAATCAGGTGGTTGCTCCATATAGACTTCTTCCTCAAGATCACCATGCAGAAAAACATTCTTAATGTCCAATTGATGAAGAGGTCTATGATGAACGACAACCATAGATAGAAAAAGACAAACATATGCTATTTTGGCCACAAGAGCAAAAATGTCACTATAGTCTAGCCCAAATATTTGAGTATACCCTTTGGCAACAAGGCGAGCCTTAAGCCGATCGACTTGACCATCCGGACCAATTTTGACCGCATAAACCCAACGACAACCAACAGTAGATTTACTTGTAGGAAGGGAGACAAGCTCCAAATACCACTCAAATGTAAAGCAGACATCTCATCAATCATAGTCTGCCTCCATCCAGAATGAGAAAGTGCTTGACCTGTAGTCTTAGGAATGGAAATAGAGGACAAAGATGATACAAATGCATAATGGGGTGAAGATAAACGATTATAACTCAAGAAAGTATAATGTGGATTAGTATTTCGAGTAGATCGTATACCTTTTTGAAGAGTAACCGATTGGCTAGCAGGAGGTAAGGCCGCAGTGGGAGCAGGGTTTGGCGCATGACATGAGTCATTTGGGACTATGCTAGACGTGGGCGACGATGATAAGTCAAGAGTGGTGGCACTACAATAGGAGATGGAGAAGTAACCGTAGGTTCCTCAAAAGTCGGTACAGGCAAAACTTGAGGTATGGGTAAGATCTTAGAGACAATAGGATGATTAGAATACGTGTAGTAAGGTTGAGATTCAAAGAATGTTACATCGGTAGAGACTATCTGAATAGCAACGATACAAGTTTTGAACCCGAGAGCAACTAAGAAAGACACATTTAAGAGCACGAGGGGCTAATTTATCTTTTCCTGGGCTAAGTTTCAACAAAGCATGTGCTCCCAAAGACAAGTGGAGGGATAGAATAGAGATGTGACTGAGGGTAAAATATGGAATGTGGAATTCGATTCTGAATAGAAAATGACGGCATTATATTAATTAAATAACAAGATGAAAGCACTACATTGCCCCAAAAACGCAGTGGAACATGGGATTCAATGAGGAGAGTGCGAACAGTCTCAATGAGATGCCTATTTTTTGCTGAGGAGTGTATGGACAAGATGTTTGGTGAATAATTCCTTGGTTAGACATAAACTACCTGAAAACTGGGATGATAAGTATTCTAAGGCATTATCACTACGAAAAGTACAAATAGAAACACCAAACAAATTCTCTATTTCAGCAAAGAAACTTTTGAATATAGAAAATAACTCATAACAATCTTTCATTAAGAAAACCCTAGTGCATCCCGAATAATCATCAATGAAACTAACAAAATAATGAAATCCTAAGGTGGAATTTACTTTACTAGGACCCCAAATATCATAATGAACTAATGAAAAAATAGATTTTTTTTTCTCAATCTCAAAAAAAAAAAATAGACTTTGAACGACCCTTTGTACCATGTGAAAATGTGGCATGACTGTGTTTCCCAAGTTGACACGACTCACAATCTAATCTGAATAAACTAGATAAACTAGGCACCATCTGCTAGAGTTTGCATAGACTCGGATGTCCCAAATGTTTGTGAATGAGGTCCGGAGGATATGTAATAGAGCATGCTGTGAAGGAATTTGAAGAGTTAAGATAGTAAAGGCCTTGTGATTCATGTCATGTGCCAATCAACTGTCCCGTACTGCGGTCCTGCAAGAGAAAAAAATCATCAAAGAAGGTTATGTCACAATGTAGGGCACGTGTCAAACGACTAACATATGCTTAATTATAGGGAGAACCAGGGACATAAAGAACAGAGTCTAGAGTGACAGAAGATAGGGGTGTGGCTTTTCCAACCCCTTTTGGTTTTGTTTGGATCCCATTGGCTAAAGTAATAGCAGGAAGATATTGTGAATAAACAATATCCGACATAAGTGATTTGTTACCAGAAATATGATCAGAAGCGCTTGAGTCCATGACTCATGATCCATGAGTATTAGACGTGAAACACAAGTAAAAGAATTACCCGCAACAACATCATGTTGAACAACCGAAGCTACTTGTGGAGACGTTTGCTTACTTGCTCGATATTGAAGGAACTCATCATATTTTGTTTGAGCAATATGAGCATTATGGGATGGTCGATCAAGCAGAGCAATGAATACTTCTTGTCGAGATGTCTTCTTACTTGCACGATTACGAAGGAGCTCATTATATTCCTTTAGAGCAACAAGATCATAATAGGGTGGTGGACCATGCAAAATATGACATATGTCACGAGTGTGTCTAGACTTATGACAATAACTACACTTGGATCGAGGTTTTCCAAGATGACCTCCTCCTCTTCGATTCTCCATAGATTGATATGCTCGTTTGTCTATGGTTTGAGAGGCGAGAGCAGAGGAGTAATGGTCGGTGATGAAACTACTTTGTGGCTGGGAGGCGCAGTAAGACGAAGTAAACGAGAGAATAATTCATCAATCGTAAAAATTGTAGGACTAGCTAAAGTATAATCACGCACTGAATAATGGTCAATTGGAAGTCCAACAAGTGTAAGAAGTAGAAACAACGTTTGCCTGTGCTCTTGTTGTTTTTGCACGTTCGTAGTGTCTGGCATCAATGTTTCAAATTCCTCCATGACTGCCTGTACTTGTCCCAAATAAGTGGACATACCTAATTTTGTTTCTTTAGGTTGGGCATATGAGATATCACATCATAGAATCGAGATATGTCATTAGTGTATAAGGCACGAGCCTTTTCCCAAACTGAATAACATGTTTGGAATGGACGAAACAAGGGCATTAACTTGGAATCAATAGATCGCCATAGGAGGCTACATAATTGAGCATAAACCTTCTCCCATTGTGCTTTGGCTTTTGCATCTTTCACACTAGCCTTTGCCTTTTCATCTACCACATAAGCAATGTTCGTTAAGTGATCTTGGACACCTTGACCCTTGCACCACAACTCAACCATGGAAGCCCAAGCTAAATAGTTTGAGCTTCCCATTAACGGTTCTGAAGTGATCATAGGGCTTGAACTTCCAATTCTTATATTCTTGGAGCCAAAAGTATCAATCCCGAAAGACATGTTGTGAAATTAGAATATGCAGCCGAAAAAAATAAAAAATAATCTGTAATGAGTTGCCAGAATCAGGATTTTTTATTTTTTATTTTTTTGTTTGGAATCTGGAAAAGAAAAGGTTGTTGCCGAAAAAGTGGATCAAATCGCCAAATATTGGTCGGAATCAGGAAAAAAATATATGGGCAGCCTCGGAATGAAGAGGTGACCCAAGTAGAAAAAAAATTGTCAAAAAACTGGCCGGAACAGGGAGCATGCGCCGGCGCGTGGATTTGACAACTTGCTGGAGAAATTCTTCTGGCGGCGCGTGTGGCACTTGTTTTGGCGAGTATGACTGGGATTTACTCGCTAGGAAGTTCCGCACCTAGTGGTGGTGTTGATTTTTAAAAATTAGGGACGGAAAATATTAATTACCCAGACAGCCACTTAGGTTACCGGAAAAAACTGCACAGATAGCTGATTTTGCAGCGATATTTTTTTTTTTCTCTCACAATTGCTATGAACCATGTGAAAAATATATGAAAAGAATATTATTGAATTGTGTTCTAATTATTACATAGAGAACCCTATTTATAGACACTATAAACTATTCCTATTTTGTGTAGGATTGTGTATACCTATTCTATTCTAACATAAACAACTTCAAAATTCAAGCTTAAATGTTCACAGTTATAGGAAGATGGAACAATATCTACCACCTTCTTAAAATGGCTTGTGTGAATTCCTTTTTTTAGATTTTTACCGAAATAATCGTGTTACAATATGTCCTCTCAAATTTATAATTGTCTATTTAATCCCTATTTGGGGAAAAACCTCACTTATACTCAAAATTATATTATTCTCGAAATACTAGTCAATTTAATCTGAATTCACGTTTTAGACGCGGAGAATGATTTTTCTTTAAGTTTGAGTTTAAGGAACTTGTCTATTCCTAATGTTTGAGGTATTCTTTTTAAAATTATTGTTTCATAAAGAAATATAATGTAGTTCATCAGAAAACATTATTTATGCTTGAGATATTTGAGAAGTATAATAGATGTAGATTTTAGATACATGCATCATTATTTGTCCTTTTGAGAATTTCCATGTAACCTTTAGAATTCCTACAGAAATCTCTTGGTCTTTTTCCTTTTTACATTAATATTGTTGGATAATTTGATTTTTGAAGGGGTATAAAGTCCGTCAACTTTAGAGGGATGTTTCGATCTCTTTACATTTTTTTTGAGGTTTCCATTTCTGTATTAGTATAGATTGATCGTCAATGTATTACTCAATTAAATACTCATATATCTCCATAATCTGGTAGATCATTGTTCAACCTACAATGGCCTCTAATGGCGCCATCATAATCAAGGAAATCATTTTGCACTCAAGAGTATGACCTAATGGTCAATGAGGCAGATAGAAACCTCAGAGAATAGGGTTTAAATCCAACAGAGACAAAAACATTGCTCCTTATGTATCTGTATCCTTTTTTCTCAATTTTTTATTATGCATCCTACTTTTTGTTTTAGTTTTTTTTTTAGAGAAGCCACATTCTATGTTTAGTACTCTCTTTAATTATAACATCCCTACCACAAGATTCAAAGAGCATTTTGGTACAATATACATGTTTAGTTTAAGACCACAAAATTTAAAAGTCTCCCTTATTTTTCTGAACTTTGTGCCTAGTCAAATTAAGAAACATAAAATGAAAAGGAGGTAAAGGTAATTACTTCCCATCTGCATAAGCCTTGATGGACAGAATTACCGAATAGCTATACTGATTGGAGGTAGCAAGTACTCAGTGGAATAGTCAAGGCACATTAAACTGATTCATACACCACCGTATTGTAAAAAAATCAAGGAAATCATATGATGTAGGCGTGTGATGGCCAATTGCTACAGTGATCCAACTCGAGTGTACTATGCAATGAAAGATATTTCATTGTTCTCCATATTCACAAAGCAAGAGATATGATGGGAACAGATGAACACTAACTACTTTATAGTTAGTTCCTTTTGGTTGCCACAATACTATAAGAAAGAAAATGAAATTGTAAAAGGCTCAGTAGTCAGTATAACTTGGATGTTGGGATCATTTTGTTGACTGTTTGCACTGCTCTATGGTTATTATTGGAATCAGCTTGTTGTAGTTTTCCTTCCCATCAAATAGAAGAAGAAGATCGGAAACCAACATGTGTATATGGCCTTAGTGAATTTGTACCTGCACGCTAGCGTAAGGGGTAAACAGAGTAGTTGGAGAAATTTTACTTTTGAGTAGCTAAATATGAATGTTTAATCCCATATTTTTATCCACTTCTGCTAAGGATGACAATGGTCACTTTTGGAATGTTACACTAAGAAGCTACAGCTTGTGGGAAGAAAAAAAAAGTTGCAGGCATTGGGTCAGTGATCTCTAGAGACTTTAAGTGCCACATGCAAATTAAGGAAATAGTGAAAAGCAATGGATGCAATTTTATTAGAATAGAGCAAATGGGAATCTGGCTACTTAATTGGAGATAATATGGGTTGAAAGGAACAGAGCTTGCTGAAGTTAGAAAACAAAGGAAGGAGGAGAATCTGCTGAAGTTTGATATTGAAGATTGGGAGGGATGGCATATTCATGATCCAGTTTGATCTCTATGGAGTCATATATCAATAATTGCTGCTCCAGTACCTTGATGAATCTTATCCGAGTCCTGAACTTACCATAATTGCAATAACATAAGACTGATGATTTTGCATGGTACCTTGATACAGTGATATTTTCTCTTTTCCATTCGTTATCTTGTAAATCATGGGGATGTGTTCTCATTCTCTTTTTTATTTTACTGCTTTAAAGCTCACACTATCTTTATGTTAGCTCTTCATCTCCCTACCCTTGAATGGAAAAGAAACAAGTTTCTACGGAATATGTAGTTTAGAATTAAGTGTAATTATATCTTTAGTGTTGACCATTTTTTTTTTTGACAGATGAAAGAATTGTATCTGCTCTCGACAGGTTAAGAGTTGAAACAGGGAAGCAGCATGTGTGGGTACCTCCATGTTCACTTCATTTCTTATAGACCTTTAGTCATTCTTTGATTCTTTCTGTGTACTCATCACTAGTTTCGTCTTCAATCTGTTGGTTCTATGATGATTGATGAGTACTTTATTTCGCTAATGACTAACATACCTTTGGGCTTCATGCCTACCAATTGACTTGAACTTTTGATTTCCTGAATCATGTTCTGTTGAAAGGAAGGTTGTAAAGTAAACAACAATAACAACAAACTCAGTGAAATCCCACAAAGTGGGGTCTGGGAGGGTAGAATGTATGCAGGCCTTACCACTAACTCTCCGAGGTAGAGAGACTGTTTCTGTAAGACCTTTGGCTCAAGCAAATAAAACACTAATTATAAAAAAAAATGACAGTTAATAGCAAAGCAGTGCGGAGCATATATGCAAGGAGCCGTAATAATAACAAGCTGCGGTTACTAAACACAGTAAACCACAAATAATCTCGGATACCAAAAACCGAAGACTTTATGAATATGCTAATACTACGACCGGCACGGAGCTCTACACTTCCACCCAGAAAAATATATGAATGGGCTAGTAATAAGACAACTCCCAACTATACCTACTTACCTTCTATCCATGACCTCCATACCCTCCTATCTAAGGTCATGTCCTCGGTAAGCTGAAGATGTGCCATATTTTGTCTAATATGTAGTTTAGAATTATATGTTAATATGTCTTTAAAGTAAACGAAAGGTCTGTAAATATACTTACTGGTCCTTTCAGGTGTTATGGCCTTTCTTTTACATGATTAGCTTAAGTATTATTTTAGTCTTCACATGCTTGATTCAGATCCCTATGCAGGGCACCAAGTGTGATGTTAGAGAGGGAGATGACGTGAAGAACTTAGTTTCCTTTGCGAAGGAAAAGCTTAAATACATCGACATATGGGTATTTAATCTGGACCCTCAATTTGCTTAAGATGATAAGGCCACGAACACTCTCAATGTTCTTTGTATCAGAAGTCCAATTCCCTTTCTTATTTGATTGTAAATGTTTTCTTTTTATCCTTTCATTTCACAGTTTGTTCAAGAATTGGTGTTGGTACTTAATCCATAAATTTAGTTGTTTGAACTGCTGCAAAGCCATGATAAATATTAGAGTTAATTCCTCACCCAACTTATGGATATGACCTACCAAAGTCACTTTGTATTTTGGGACAACAAAGTCATTCAATTATCAAATCTCCTCTTAGATCATCATAAGGGGTGTTGTTTGAGGTTAATGCTTTCCAGAGCAACATCTTTGGCATGTCATTGAGGAGGTAGGCTTCTGAGTACCTTCCTTATGTGATCGATAGTAGTGTTAAAGAATGACAAAAGTTTCACATTGGTGCTTAATGAGACGGGTGTACTCTTGATAAGGTTTGGGTAATCCTCCTCCGTTTGAGCTAGCTTTTGGGGTGTGAGTTAGGGCCCAAGACCTAGTTTAACTTGGTATCAGAGCGGACCCATCTAACCCTGTTGAGCCCCCAAAATTAAAAGTTGCCCACGCACCAGATGTTAAGCACTGGGCATGAGGTGGGGTGTTAAAGAATGACAAAAGTTTCACATGGTTAATGAGATGGGTTTACTCCTTATAAGGCTTGGGCAATCCTCCTCCTCCCTTTGAGATAGCTTTTGGGGTGAGAGTTAGGCCCAAGACCTAATTTAACAAGTAGGATAGGTTTTCCAGAGGCTTTTAGTTCCCCAATGAATTTACTCAGCCGGGAGAACATTCCCTCAATAGTCTCTCCTTCATTTATTTGGAATAATACTCATAAACTAGAAGGCTGACTATAGTCTGCTTGACTTGCCATTTCCTTCATAGGTTACTTCTAGCTTATCCCATATTTCTTTAGCAGTTTCACCACTTGAGATCTTTTCATATTCTTCACCACTGATTGCATTATATAGTAAATTTTTCTTAAGAGTTTACCTGAATAACTTCCAGTTGTGCATGAGTTTTGTCGGCCAATTTTGATAGATCAATTGCTCCTTCAATTTCTGTTGTTTTTTCCTTGCTTCCAGATTCCTTATCATCATTCTTAGTTGTAGGTATGGGAATGTCTCCCAATTTGATCACCCTCCAGACCATTACATCATATGACTTGATGTAGGTTTCCATTCTGACCTTCTAGTGTGAGAAGTGCTTCCCATTGAAGTAGGGAGGCCTTGTCTGATAGGTTCCCTCTTGAAATAAAGCTTCAACTGTAACGACTGTGCAATCAAATGATGACGCAAGTTATAAAACAATAAGTAAATGACACCGGGTATTTTTATACCGGTTGGGATCCAATGTGGATTTTAGTCCAGTCCCCTTGGGTTGCAAGGAATTTTCTATGCAAGTACTTTGAATAGTTGATGAGTACAAGTCACCTCAAGGTGTAGTTCCTACGTCTACACTTGATCTTTTTCTCTCTTGATACAATGCCTCACCAACTATATTTTTCCTCTCTTCTCTGTTTTGATTACACAGTAAACCATTCAAGAATTACAATGCTTGTTAAGAGTAGAAGTGTAGAACAAAGGACTTTGAGGAGTCTTTAGACAAATGTATGTTAGTCTTTGGTCTTCAATGATTGATTAAATATAAGACTTTGATGAGGACTGTTGGTTCCTTAGCAGAGAGGGCAACCCTAAGGATTTGATCCTTGGAAAGGGAAATTGATTTCCTTTCCAAGAATAAGGGACAACTCATTCCAAGAGACTGCTGTTGTATTATTTTTACTAATCTTCCAAATATCCCTTTTGGTACTGCTTCTATAATTTCACTGGGTCTTGATTAGTACTTGATACTGCTTCCATGTGTTCTCCGCGAGTCTTGGCTCTTTCCTTGGAAGTCATCCAAGATCTGCCTTTGATTAAGGCCTTGGAAATCTTGAGTAATTAATAGCTTAGACTTTCCATAATATTCCTGCATACATTAAATCATCATTAAAACCTGACCCTAACAAATGGGTTTGCTTAAATGACATGAAAATGATCTTCTAAACCCAGAACATCAATCAACACCCATAAACTTGAGTTCAAGTAAATTTCACTCAACTAAATCATTCCACATTACTGTACACATGCAAAGAGAATTTGACAGACGTGTTAAATTTTCTTTATAACAGGGTCCCTTTGTAGTGGTGGAGTCATGAGCACCATCTAGTTCTTTGCCAAAAATCCTAATGGCTTTGTCTTTTATTGGTGCTGGACGAATGAAGAAAATTTAGGAGAAGGATTCCATGTTCATGAAATCCTGCCTTTCTCTATCATACATGTCCATCAATTTTGTGTTGTTTTTTGAAGAGTAGGGAAGATTTAGGAGAATAGACTGAAGGCTAAAGGAATGGAGATGAGGGTTTGGAACAAAAGAGAATGGTTAAGTAGAAGCAAGGGAGTATGTTGTCTTATATTTTCTGCATTGAAGTTATGTACACACAACATTCTGATTTTTTAACATTATGTTATCAGTGTAATATGTAACTTATTGTAACATGTTTGTTACCATTTTAATTACTACTTATCAATTAGTGCCTATAATTATAAAGGTCCATAATATTTAACTTTGACATATTATACTTTGTGTTGAATCTGTAGTAGTTACTTTGTGTATTTAGGTGAAGTTACTTGAGCCCAAGTTTGTGGGTGTTGAGTGATGTTCTGGGTTTAGATCATTCTCATGTCATTTAAGTTACTCATTTTCTTATCGGGTGGGTTAAATGTGTATAAGTTACATGTGTTAAATAGACTTTATTTTTAAAATAACAACAACATACCCAGTGAAATTTCACAAGTGAGGTCTGGAGAGGGTAGAATGTACGCAGACCTTACCACTACCTCCCGGAGGTTGGAGGTTGGAGGTAGAGAGGCTGTTTATGGCTTTATTTTTTAAAATGGGGTTATATTATGACATGGCATGCCAAATGGGTGTTTGTTTTTTTCTGAATGTAAAAAAAAGGGAAAGTGAATTTGGTAAGTTATTTCCGTAAGTTGGGTGATCATTTAAGCTATTAACTCCAAATATTAGCATGTTGATAGTTCAAATGATTTCCATCTGGATAGTCTAACACATCAATTATCTGGCAAAATTGAGATGGGAAAACTTTGTGCATGTATTTTAAAGTTGTTTTTTTGATAAAGGTAACTTTATATTCACGTCAAAACTCATCAGCAGAGCATGATGAGGTGGGATTTACAACCCCACAGGGGGTAGTTTCAAAAGCCGAAACTGGGCAAAAACTTTACAATTGAGCTCTAAAATCCACTAAGCTATCTACCTCCCCCACCAAATCCTGTTTACACCAAAAATACAGCAAGCTCAAGCTATTCATCTTGATTTTTTGAGTGTTGTTAAGTTTCCCATCATGTGATCTTTCATTCCTTTCCTTCCACAATGTCCACCAAATGCAGGCTGGGATGCACTTCCACCAGTCTTCTTTGGATCTTCTTCTTCTGCCCACTCCTTCCCACTGTCTCAGCAAGTCTAAAGTAGTCTTGGGCATTACCCAGTTAACTCCAAGTATACATAAGAACATGTCCCACAGATTTACAGCTGTTCTGCAGTGTAAGAAAAGTGTAAGAAAAGGTGACTGTTAACTTCTGCCTCTTCCCCACACATGTAACACCTTGAGCAAATCTGTATACCTCTTCTTTGTAACACTTCATGGGTTATCCACTAAGCTATCTACCTCCCCCACCAAATCCTGTTTACACCAAAAATACAGCAAGCTCAAGCTATTCATCTTGATTTTTTGAGTGTTGTTAAGTTTCCCATCATGTGATCTTTCATTCCTTTCCTTCCACAATGTCCACCAAATGCAGGTTGTGATATAAGTGTTGTTTTATCACTCCACCGCAAGGTGGTAATTCTTGTATTTTTGTTTCAGTCATTGAGAAACTATAATGTTGAAATGTTGATATTCTAATTTTTGTTGGTTTCTCACAAATTCTTGAGAATGAAGCAGATCAATAATGCAGGATCGAATGCGTATAGCTTCAAACCCCTGGCAGAAGCTTCTGATGAAGATTTAATGTGAGCTCTTTTGCATTTGACTTGGGTCCTGTCTTTGTTTATTGATGTTTTTCATGAATTCGATTTGTGTGCAGTCAAGTTGTCACTACAAATACTCTTGGTTTGATGATATGTTGTCGTGAGGTAAAAGCATTGCTAGGTTGTTCATTCCTCTTTGTTGGTTAGCCTCTGTTTGCTAACATTTGTTATTGTAGGCTATAAACTTGATGCAGAATCAGCCTCGAGGAGGTCATATTTTTAATATTGATGGGGCTGGCTCAGATGGAAGACCAACCCCCAGGTATCTTTAGTCCTTTATCAGTGGCACTCAACTTCTGCATATTGTATTAGAAGAGGTGGGGCCAAGTGCAAGAACATTTTCATGAGGGAGATTTGAGAAGTGAATAACTTATCAAGAAAAGTATCTCATTTTGCTCTATTATCTTGAAATGTCACATAGATATCTCAGGTGATGCGCAAATTGCTTCCTGTTGACAGTGGTTCATCATCAACTAAGAATTTCCTCTCGAACTTAAAACAGTCCGCTGTAGCACTGGCAATTTCCTTATAAAAAAATAAAAGAATTTCCTCTCGAACTGCAGGAGTTCTTTGTTAACTTTACCAACCTCTTGGTGGAAACATCAAGTTTGTCAGTTAATAACTGGACCTTAAACTCATTAAGTTCAACCATAATGCAGGTTATAAATCAGTTGATAAGAAAGTTCTGGAAAATCTGTATAAGAATAGTATTTCTCAGAACCATTAGATGTGGTTGGTAAAATTGAACCATAAGCCGTAACTAAATGTTGAAGCTTGAAAGTTGCTCCAAATAATTAAACAATTCACAAAAAGAACTTGACAGCACTTAAATAATTAGCAAATTTGGAGAGAAAGAATGAGAGAATTGTCGGAAAATGAAGAAGAATGGAGAGGTATTTATAGTTTAGAAATAGGGTCAAGATGTAATTTAATAAACATGGGAGTTTAAATAAGTTTGGGCGAGGGGGAAGGGGAGGGGCTGTTTTGGGAGAGGGGAGAGCAGAAATAGTGGTTTTTGGGTCAATGTAGCTGTTGGGCAATGACTCCCAACGGTTACCTTTTCTTAAAAAAAAAACAAATTGGACGGGAAGGACCAACCGTCCAACCTGCCTCGTCCCCTATCCCCCTTACAGTACCCGGGACCGGGCTGTCCCGTCTCCTCTGACACCCATAGTGTTATGATTTGCTAGGAATTTGACTGCTTCTGTGCATCTCATTAGAATTTTTTAGCAGCTTTATTTTCATGATCTGTAGGGAAGAGAGAAACAGAGAAAGGCAAGACTACTAACGGAGTTTCTAGAAAGGGACTGCAGAAGAAATTGGAATCATAAGTTATATTTTTGTTTCACTTCAGAAATTGGGTGAGAGTGCAATGGAAATTGGGAAAAAAAATAAAAGCGTATGTTTCATGTTTTCAGCTCCCTCACCCTAGCATCACTAAGTTAAACTGTTAAATTCATGGGAGATAAAACTTCAAGTTTGTTTCAGTTCCATCTTTGGCTATAAGACAAGAAAGATAAAACGATAATCATCTATGCAATTTAATATTCTTTTCTAGTTGCACGCATTTGGTTGTTTGCTCGAGCAAACTTAGACTTTTGTATCCTGCTGCTCAAAGTATCTTAGCTGCTCCAATTCCATGATCATCCTCGTACTGCTACACAAACATCCTCTGACCAATTGTAAAACGTTGTGACTGCAAATGATTACTGGTGGCTATAATGTTTACCAGTATATTACAGCAGTATCTAACAGCAAGGTGATATCATCTAGAGAATCCTAGTCTATCCTGCATCTTTGTTTAGTACATGATGTTGTGTCATTAACATATCAAGGAACACACTTTGAAACTAAATTGGTAGTGTGTCATGCTAGAGTATTAAACTATTATCGACATTCCCCTAATCGTTTCTTCATTTGTTCTCTGTTTTGGTTGCTCCAGTTTTCCGTTTTTCCTTTTCAAATGTGCCCCTTCTGTTTGTTTCAGATTTGATCCTTCTGAGTTTGAAATCTCTTGTAGATTTTTAAATTTTGGGGAGTGCATTTCTATCAAGTTCATACAGGAGGTTACTAGTGAGCTTAATGCCACCTAGTCTCACTTGCTGCCCCTCTCGCAGTCTTTCTCAGTGATGTGTCTTGTTTCCTTTTCTATCTTCAGGTTTGCAGCATACGGAGCAACTAAGCGCAGTGTGGTGCACTTAACAAAATCATTGCAGGCATGTACTCTGGTTGCAGACCTAAAATATATAAATAAAAATGTTTCCTCTCTAATGGTTTGTGCTTTTATTAGGCAGCTCACACAATTCAATTTTGTTTTGGAATAGACAGACATCATGAATTCGAGTCTCACCATTACCTACCAGCAAAATATATCCACGTGCTTGGGCAAAAAATAAAATAAAATTTGGCCCGTTCATAAGAGGACGTGTTACAGAACTAAAATAAAGAAATTTCTCCTCTCGCATCTCCAACCCTATTCTCTATTTTACTCTCCAAATATAGAGTTCTCTATTTTTTTCAGACAACCAACTCCAACCCAATTCTCTATTATACTATCTAAAAAGAATCTTCTTCTCTCTCCTCCATATTATATTATTATTTCTATTTCATTCTTATTTTCTTATTTCATAATATAAATCCTTCCTTTCTTTTGTCCAAATAATCACTTTATATAATTTTCATGTGATATAAAATTTTATTTTTTCAAATTCTTTATTTAATATAAAATTATAATTTAATCTAAACTTCTAAATAACATAAATTGCAAGCAAATATTATATAATATACAAATTAATGGACAATTCAAATAAAAGTGAAATCATTAATGAAATACAATTATGAAAACATTACATAAATACTCAACTTTCAAGATTATTACGTTTCTCCCATAAATAATCTATTAATGCATTACGGAGTTCAAAATGAGCACTTTTGTCCTTAATTTCTTGTTAAATCTGGAAATGACCTACTCGATTACTAAATTATTGTTGTGATAAAATTATTATGTTATGTATTGTATTGTTATCTTGTATTTAAATTATTATGTTATGTATTGTATTTTTAAATTAAAATTTTCATTTTAATTTTGTGCATTCTTTATAGTGAAAATTAATAATAGAATCAAATTATATTAAAGTGATGAAAATTAAAAACAAATTGAAGTATTATTAATTTGGGATGAAAGTAGTATACATTAAATAATATATTTTTAAAAATATTATATTACATTTAAAAAGAATTACGAATATTAGATATTTAATTAATGACCTAATATAAAAAATAATATGTTAATTACAAAATAATAATAAAATAATGAAAAAGTGAAATAGAAAGTGTGAATAAATTTGGAGAACTACTATTCACCTCTCTATAAATGGATGATAGAGAGTGAATTAAAGAGGGGTTGGAGAACCCATTCTCTATTTTACTCTTTAAAAATAGAGAATAGAGAGTAAAATAGAGGTGGGTTGGAGATGGTCTAACAATTAAAACATACTCCCTCCCCCTTCTCCCCTGGTGTTTGTCGAACTCTATGCTGAGTCATTTACACGAGGCACACAATTCAACGTACTCCCTCCAACTTTTCCCCCTGTTGGTTGTTGAACACCATGCGTTGTTGTGCCGAGGGCTATCAGAAACAACCTCTCTACCCCACAAAGGTAGGGGTAAGGTCTGCGTACTTCCTACCCTTCGTAAACCCCACTTGTGGGATTACCCTGGGTATGTTGTTGGTTGTCGAACACTGGAATCATTCAATGTTTGTTTGATATTAAGAGACATTGATTTTGCTAATTCTGAAGTCCCAGGATGATCAAGTTTTCCTGTAATCTGAAAGTTTTCATTACATGCTTGGACATGGCACCCTAATGTTGAATGATTGGAAGGATATCGATAACTCATGACTAGTTAAGGACAACAAAAATCACGGACTAGAACAGACACATATAACATCTTAATATTATTTTCCTTTACAGCTGCACTTCTATAGAGAAGTGGGATTCCATTAATCTTGAAATCATAAGATACAACTTTTGTTATATAAGAATTTTGTCCACATTTCACGAAGCGTTAAATCTGCAATTGGAAGAGTTGCATGCTGAGATAGCCTTCATTCTCCTAAAATGTGTCTTAATTTCTTGATGAATTATTACAGCATAGATTTTCTTGATTTCTCTGCAGGCAGAATTGGAAATGCAAGATGTTAAAAATGTTTTAGTGCATAATCTGTCGGTATGCCCTGCTTAATTTATCTTGTGATCTTATAGTGTCTGGGATTATTGAGAAGATTGCTTGTCTTTTTTATTTGAATTAGTTATGATTACTTTGTTACCCTGTTATTCTGAAATGGGTGTAATTTACATTTCTTTTGCTGAATATTGAACACGTTCTTTTTGTGTGATTTGATTCTGGTATGCATTTTAAATTCCTAATAATGATGAAGATAAATCATCCCTTAGGTTGTCACATTTGAGATAGAAAATCCAGAAAAATATTCCATCTTACATGTTATGAATCTACTTTTAAATACAATAATCATGACTAGTTCATGATTTATGAACACACTTGTACAGGTCCCTTTCACTACCATGGAAAGCATCCCTATTAATCAGGTAAACCTAGGTTAACACTGCTTCAAACCATAAAGACTTTTGAAGATTCATCTCAAAGGAAGGATAAAACAAACCTCATTCTTAGATATTTTAAGATAAACAGTAGTAAGGCGAGAGAAAGAATCCAGGAATTAGGCCTAACACGATTCCAAATAGAAAAACTTCAACCATTTTTCTTTGTTTGAAAGGAGAAAAAAAAAGAAGTCGAGCCTCCTTTTCAGTCGCCCTCTCCCCGTCCCTTACTCGTCTTTTGAAAGCCGTCATCCTGGATTTTCTTTCCGTATGCCGGGGAAAGTACCTCACCCCCACCTTTCTTGAAGCCTGAATCTTGTTTGTCCTTGGGTCAATTGTGCAATTTCACTTAGGGATTGTTTTGTTGGGAACAAGTTATCCCAGGATTATTAATTCTGGGATAAGTTATTCCACTATATATATGGGATAACAAATAACTTATCTATCACTAAGGTATAAATGGTGGGATAAATAATCCCACGACTGCCTAATACCTCCAACCAAATGCTGGATAAAATAAACCTGCATTTTGTCCATGAGATTATTATATAGTCCACCCTAAATTGTTAGCATACTACTTTGGGACCTCCTTGAACTTGATATTTTTATTCAAGTATACACTTAAAACTACTTTTGTTCGTAATTATACCTTCTTATATTTGACCATTTGGTAGCTTCCACCCCCTGAACAACCTCAGACAAGAAGGTGTGATGCACTCTCTGCCACATGAATTAGTTTTGTCCGTGTAGTATTTGTAATAAATAAAATATATTTCTTAACCTTTTTAAATTCATTGACTTTTTAGGGTCATATTTTCAGGCCAACTTGTAAAAACATATTTGGAACTCCCTTATTTAGGCTAAATTTTTTTATTTGGCTACACAAAAGTTTTATCTAGTTTTTATTTTTACTTTTTTGGCCCCAAAAGAAGAAATACATGATTGAACAAATTGTCATTGCATCTAAATATGATATAAAAAGAACTGTACTGTTAAAAATTCATTATATTTACTAAAAAAGTTTATTAGTATAAAAGTAATGGAGCTCTAGTAAACTTGTTTTACAAATTTTGCTAGAAAAAGAGAAGGCATACAATTGAATAATCATTTTAGGAAGAAATAAAAAAATGCAAAGTTGGGGTAAAATAGGTGGTATATTAAAAAGAAATACACACTTGGAACAAACGAACCATTATATATGATTATGATTTATGTGACAATTAACATTTGAAAAATACTTCACTTGGAAGCTAATTTATCAATACCTTTTATCAACCTTACTAGCCAAAAAGAGCTTGCTTCCGGAGTTTTGTGATAAAAAGGTACCACCTAAACTTAAAGGTAAGTTCTATGCAGTGGTGGTTAGATCGTCTTTGTTGCATGGGGTGGAGTGTTGGCCAATCAAGAATTCTCATATTTAGAAGATGAAAGTTGTGGAAATGAGCATTTCAAGATAGATATGTGAGCATACTAGGAGCAACAAAATTAGAAATGAAGATATCGAGGACAAGGTCGGAGTGATGTCCATGGCGCACAAAATGAGGGAAGCAAGACTGAGATAGTTTGGGCATGTGAAGAGGAAATGTGCAGAGGTCGCTGTGTGGAGGTGCGAGAGGTTGAGTCTAGGGGGTTCGAGGAGAAGTAGAGGTAGGAAGAAAAAGTATTGGGGAGACGTGATTATACAAGACATGACACAACTTCATATTATCATGGACATGACTTTAGGTGTGGAGGTGCTTGTTTGGGTAGAAATTTAGTAGGTAGTGGAGTGTCGACTTGCTTTTAGAAGGTTTAGGCTTGTTGGTGTCTATTGTAGTACTAGTCGTATTCTTGTACTTTTTTGCTTTTGATATCTATCATCAGATGTTATTTATTGTGTTTCATTATCCCATTATTTTGTTATTGTTCCTTCTCGTAGGCTCTGCATTGCTTTCTTAAGTAATTGTTATGCTTTCTTCGATGTTTTTGTTTTCTTCTACTTGGATTTGTTGCACTTGAGTCTAGAGTCTTTTGGAGTTTCTCTACCTTCGTGAGGTATTTATAAGGTCTGCATACACTCTACCTCCCCAGACTCCACTTATGGAATTTCACTAGTTATATTTGTGAGAAATATAGGAGAAATATATTATTGAAATTGTGTATCTACATTATTACATTGAGACCCTATTTATAAACACTACATTGGACTTCTTTTCAAATTAGGATTCCTATTCCTATGGCTCCTTTTCCAATTCGGATTCCTATTCCTATTCCTATTCTTATTCCTATTCTAAGTAGGATTTATATATTTATTCCTATTCTAGCAATCCCCCTCAAGCTGGTGCATACAAATCATATGTACTTAGGTTGTTACAGATTTAATTAATACGAGGACCGGTGACGGGCTTGGTGAAGATATCTGCAAGTTGATCATTCGACTTCACAAATTTTGTAACAATATCTCCTGAGAGTATCTTTTCTCTAACAAAAAGTGATTGTCAATCTCAATGTGCTTAGTCCTTTCATTAAACACTGGATTTGATGCGATATGAAGGGCCGCTTGATTATCACACACAAGTTCCATCGGACCGATTTCGCCAAATTTTAGCTCTCAGCAACTGTTTGATCCAAACTAGCTCACAAGTTGTTGCATCCATTGCTCGATATTTTAATTCTGCACTAGATCGAGCAACCACACTCTGTTTCTTACTCTTCCAGGACACCAAATTACCTCATACTAAAACACAATATCCCGATTTCGAACGTCTATTACAGGGTGATCCTGCCCAATCAACGTATATAAATCTAGTGATATGCGCATGGCCTTGATCCTCGAAGAGTAGTCTTTTACCAGGACAAGACTTTATATATCGCAGAATACAAATAACTGTTTCCCAATGACTATCAAAAGGGGAAGTCATAAACTAACTTACAACACTCACAGAAAAAGAGATGTCAGGTCTAGTCACTATTCACTGTAAGATAATTCAACTTTCCAACCAACCGTCTATACATTTCAGGATTACTGAGTGGCTCCCCCTGTCCTGGAATCGGAGTGTTAATGGGTCTGCATCCCATCATTCTTGTCTCCTCAAGAATGTCTAAGGCATACTTGTGTTGAGAAATAACAATACTTAATCTAGACCGAGCAACCTCGGTACCTAGAAAATACTTCAGTGTGCCAAGGTCTTTAGTCTGGAAATGCTTAAAGAGATGTTGCTTCAAATTAGTGATACCATCTTGATCATTGCCAGTGATAACAATATCATCAACATAAACAACCAAATAAATACACCGATTTGGTGCAAATTATCGGTAAAACACAGAGTGATCAGCTTCATTACGAGTCACGCCCAAACTCTCGAATTACTGTGCTAAACTTTCCAAACTAGGCTCGAGGAGAGTGTTTCAGACCATAGAGTGTCTTACGCAATCGGCATACATGGCTACTAGACTTCCGCTGAGCAACAAAACCAGGTGGTTGCTCCATATAGACTTCTTCCGCAAAATCACCATGTAGAAAATCATTTTTAATGTCCAACTGATGAAGAGGCCAATGACGAACAACAACCATGGATAGAAAAAGTCAGACAAATGCTATTTTAGCCACGGGAGCGAGAGTATCACTAATCTAGTTCAAATATCAGTGTATACCCTTCGGCAAAAAGGTGTGCCTTAAGTCGATCAACCTGACCGTCTGGACCAATTTTGACTGCATAAACCCAATGACAACCAACAGTAGATTTACTTGCACGAAGAGAGACAAGTTCCCAAGTACCACTCATATGTAAAGCAGACATCTCATCAATCATAGTCTGCCTCCATCCAGAATGAGAAAGTTCTTGACCTGTAGTCTTAGGAATGAAAATAGAGGACAAAGATGATAAAAAGGCATAATAGGGTGATGAGAGACGATGATAACTCAATAAATACACATATTTGGTGCTAACTATTGATAAAACACAGAGTGATCAGCTCCACTACGAGTCATGCCAAACTCCTAAATTACTGTGCTGAACTTTCCAAACCAAGCTCGGGGAGACTGTTTTAGACCATAGAGTGACCAACGCAATCGACATACAAGGCTACTAGACTCCCCCTGAGCAACAAAACCAGATGGTTGCTCCATATAGACTTCTTCCTCAAGATCACCATGCAGAAAAACATTCTTAATGTCCAACTGATGAAAAGGCCAATGACGAACGACAGCCATAGATAGAAAAAGATAAACATGTGCTATTTTGGCCACAAGAGCGAAAATGTCACTATAGTCTAGCCCAAATATTTGAGTATACCCTTTGGCAACAAGGCGAGCCTTAAGTCGATCGACTTGACCATCCGGACCAATTTTGACCACATAAACCCAACGACAACCAATAGTAGATTTACTTGTAGGAAGGGAGACAAGCTCCAAGTACCACTCAAATGTAAAGCAAACATCTCATCAATCATAGTCTGCCTCCATCCAGAATGAGAAAGTGCTTGACCTGTAGTCTTAGGAATGGAAATAGAGGACAAAGATGATACAAAGGCATAATAGGGTGATGAGAGACGATGATAACTCAAGAAAGTATAATGTCGGTTAGAATTTCTAGTGGATCGTATATCTTTTTGGCGTGCAATCGGTTGACTAGAAGGAGGCAAGTCCGCAGTAGAAGCAGGGTTCGGCGCATGACATAAATCATCTAGGACTAGTGTTGGGCGTGGACGATGACGATAAGTCAGAAGTTGTGGCACTACCACGGGAGATGAAGAAGTAAATGTAGATTCCTCAAAAGTTGGTACAAGTAAGACCTCTGAGGTATGGGTAAGACCTCAAAGACATCAAAATGATCAGAATATGTATAATAAGGTTGAGACTCAAAGAATGTGACATCGGCGGAAATAAGGTATCGACGAAGATCAAGTGAATAGTAACGATACCCTTTTTGAACTCGAGAGTAACCAAGAAAGACACATTTGAGAACACGAGGTGCTAATTTATCTTTACTCAGGGCTAAGTTATGAACAAAGCATGTGCTTCCAAAGACACGAGGGGGAATAGAGTATAGATGTAAGTGAGGAAACAATATGGAATGTGTAACCTGATTCTGAATAGAAGATGAGGGCATTCTAATCAAATAACAAGATGCAAGGATTGCATCACCCCAAAAACGCAGTAGAACATGGGATTCAATGAGAAGAGTGCGAGCAATCTCAATGAGATGTCTATTCTTTCTTTCTATCACACCATTCTGTTGAGGGGTGTACGGACAAGATGTTTGGTGAATAATTTCTTGGTGAGTCATAAATTCGTGAAACTGAGAGGATATGTATTCTAAGGCATTATCACTATTCGAATAGAAACACCAAACTGATTTAGTATTTCGACAAAGAAACTTTTGAATATAGAAAATAACTCAGAATGATCTTTCATTAAGAAAGCCCAAGTACATCTTGAATAATCATCAATGAAACTAACAAAAATAATGAAAACCTAAGGGTGAACTGACTCTACTAGGACCCCAAATATCAGAATGAACTAACGAAAAAATAGATTTTGAATGACTCTCAGTACTACGGGAAAATGTAGCACGAATGTGTTTCCCAAGTTGACATGACTCGCAATCTAATGTAGATAAACTAGACAAACTAGGCACCATCTTCTCTATCTTGGATAGACTCGGATATCCCAAACGTTTGTGAATTAGGGCTGGAGGATCTGTAACGAAGCATGAGGTGAAGGAATTTGAAGAGGTAAGATAGTAAAGGCCTTGTGATTCATGTCCTCTGCCAATCATTTGTCCCGTACTACAGTCCTGCATGAGAAAAGAATCATCAAAAAAGGTTATGCGACAATGTAGGGCACGCGTCAAACGACTATCAGATGCTAGATTAAAAAGAGAACCAGGAACATAAATAATAAAGTCTAGAGGGACAGAAGTGAGTGGTTTGGCTTTTCTAACCCCTTTTGATTTTGTTTGGATCCCATTGGCCAGAGTAATAGCGGGAAGAGATTGTGAATAAACAAATCAATCAGAAGTGATATGTTACCAGAAATATGATCAGAAGTGCTTTAGTCCATGACAAATGATCCAAGAGTACTAGACTGTGACACACAAGCATAAGAATTACCCGCAACATGAACATTAGGCTGAGTAACCAGGCTACTTGTGGAGTTGTTTGCTCTCTTGCTCGATATTGAAGGAACTCATCATATTCTGCCTGATCAATATGAGCATTATTGGGTGGTCAATCAGGCTGAGCAACAAATGATACTTGTGGAGATGTTTGCTTACTTGCGCGATTTCGAAGGGACTCATTATATTCCTTTATAGCAGTAGGATCATTAATTTTTGGGTCGTGGACCATACAAAATATGACATATGTCACGAGTGTGTCCAAGCTTATGACAATAACTACACTTGAATCGAGATCTTCCAAAACGACCTCCTCGCCGATTCTCCATAGGCTGATACATTCGTTTGTCTATGGTTCGAGATGCCAAAATAGAGGAGTCAATGGTGGATGATGAAACTACTTTGTTGCTGGGAGGTACGGCTAGACGAGAAAATAATTCATCCTTCATAGGTACTGCAGGACTAGCTAAAATCTGATCACGCACTGCATCATGATCAGGAGGAAGTCCAACAAGTGTAAGAACTAGAAACAACGTTTGTATGTGCTCTTGTTGTTTTTTCACATTTGTAGTGACTGGCATTAACGTTTCACATTCCTTTATAACTGCTTGTACCTGTCCTAAGTGAGTAGACATACCAGATTCATGTTTCTTTAATTGGTCATTCTAGATATCATATCATAGAATCGAGATATATCATCAGTACATAAAGCACGAGCCTTTTCCCAAACTAAATAACATATTTGGGATGGGCGAAACAAGGTGATTAACTTTGAATCGATAGATCGTGATAGGGGACTACATAATTGAGCATCAACCATCTCCCATAGTGCTTTGGCTTTATTATCTGCCTCACTAGCCTTTGCATTTTCATCTACAACACAAGCAGTGTTGGTTAAGTGATCTTCGACGCCTTGGCCCTTGCACCACGACTCAACCGAAGAAGCCCAAGCTAAATAGTTTGAGCTTCCCATTAATGGTTATGTAGTGATCATAGCACTTGAACTTCCTATATTCTTGGAGCCAAAAATATCAATCCCGAACGACATATTGTGAAATTAGAATATTCTCACCAAAAAAATAAAATAAGAAGAATTTGGGGCTGGAATCTGATTGCTGGAATGGCTGACTGCCGGAACTGGAACTTTTGTAAATAGATCTGACTGCTGGAAAAAGAGATCTGATCACCAAAAACCGATCTTGGAAATAGATCTGACTGCCGGATAAAGAGATCTGATCACCAAAAACTGATCGGAATCAGGAAAAAATTATATGGTCAGCCTTGGAATTAGGAGGCGACCCCACTGGAAAAAGAAAATTGCTGAAAAACACTGCCAGAAAATTTATCTTCTCGAGCAGCAATTTAGGTCACCAAAAAATTGCACAGTGACGGCTGATTTAATTTTCTCACCATTGCTCTGATACCATGTGTGAGAAATTTAGGAGAAATATATTATTGAAATTGTGTATCGACATTATTACATTGAGACCCTATTTATAAACACTACATTGAATTCCTTTTCAAATTAGGATTCCTATTCCTATGACTCCTTTTCCAATTAGGATTCCTATTCCTATTCCTATTCTAAGTAGGATTTATATATTTATTCTTATTCTAACAATGTTGTTGTACTGGCCAAAAGGAGCTACCAAATAGCCAAGGGGAGAAATTAAGACCAAAAATAATTTAGTAGATGTGCACTAATTAAAGGTGTAAAGTTTAGAAGGGTCTCGAGATATTATGGCTGAATTGTTTATTGATGGTGCTCAAGCAATAAATTTATGCATTTAGGGGCCATTGGGTAGAGTGTATTAGAAGAAATAATGCATGCATAACTTTGTGTATTAATAATACCTTGTTTGGTACATTTTTTCAACCTATGTAAAACTAATACACTCTATTTTGTATTGAAGAGTATTACTAAATACATAGAAATTCACAGTATTAGTAATGAAAGGTGATTTAATGCATGCATTAACATGGTTAAAGACTCAATCGCCTCCCAAAACCTTTTTTACATCTTTTCTACCCTATTTGTGAGGATATCTTGGTAAACAAATATTTTTTAAAATAATTATGCAATGCATGCTATTTTTAATACACCAAACCAAACAATGCATAAGAAATAATGCAAGCATTACTAATACACTCTATTTAGCATTATTCTTATATAGTTTACCAAACAGCCCCTTGCTGTCTTGCCACCTTGATAACTTCCTTGAATGGTTTGCATGTTAATGAAAGGTGATAAATTGTAGATTCTTGATTGTCTCAATGGTGGTGCAAATTAAAGCTTTTGTGTTGAGAACTTGAAAGATTGTTGTCGGCTGCTGATTTTCCATATTGGATAGATTGCAAGATCCACTGACCTAATTTCTTATTTTGTTTTAGAACTTAAAGGTGGCAGACAAAAGTTATATTGCAAAAATGTATATATTTCCTATATGAGGTAGTTGGACTGCTCAACCTATGTTAACTTCAGTTGAGATTCAAATGATATCAGTTCCTGTTAGTAGCCAAAATAATGCAATGCAGGGAATATTCCTAGATTGATGGAGATCTAGAACAACAAGAAGCTGTCATGCTTGCATATCAGTCATTCTGTTATATATTCTAGAATATATATATACTATTTTTGTTTGTTTTTTTTTTGGCAAATTAAGGCCTGTTTTTATATAATGTTTTTGTTTGGACTGTCAATGTGTCTATGCTTGACATCTCTTTATTTCTCTATCATTTGTCTCCATTATCTGAACCCACATTCCACTCACTGCAGCCTGGAATGGTCACAACTGATCTTTTAATGTCCGGTGCCAACACGAAGCAGGTAGAATGCTGATTAACTATTCCTTATGTTCTTTCATTTGGGGTCTGCCGGTTCTGAAAAAGAAAATTTTAAAACAACTTTATGCTTAATGCAGGCCAAGTTCTTCATTAACGTTTTGGCAGAGCCAGCAGATGTGGTGAGAATTCCAATATCTTAAGTAGTAGTTGATTCTCTATTTGTTGCCTCGAATGAAATATTTGCTTGATCATAGGCAGGTGAAAAGTTTCACCAGGAACAGCTTAAATGAATATGAAATTTGTCGCGTCCTCACTCGTACCACACTTGTCTTATTTCCCGTGGCTTCATCTATGCTTCTATTTTTACAGGTTGCAGAGTATTTAGTCCCAAATATAAGATCAATACCGACCAATGGATCAACGAAGGCTACTTACATACGTTTCCTCACAGGATTAAAAGCCTATTCCCAAATATTTTCAGTTAAGTGGAGCACTTTTGCTCCTCTAATTTCGTTCGCCTCTTTCCTTTGGGTCTCTGACACAGTGACACCTGATTTCTATATAATGATATCATGATTTTGTATTGACATACAGAGGATTGCGTTTGGTGCTAGACGGAATCGGTATGTTCTTGAAGATTGATGCAATGGGTCCAAATGGATGGATAGGGTCTACATTTATTTCTCATTTTGCTGATCACAACTTGTGTATATCAATGGAAACCTTGCCATTTTTCTTCTTATTGACCTGGATAGATAAATAAACAAAGGGAATTTTCTTTTCACCAAATGTCCAGTTAGAAGCTCTAAATTCAATTTAGTACCGAAATTAGTGAGTCTTATGATGTATTTTAATACAATCTTGCTTTTCCATCAGAGTTGCCATCCGTACATCCGCTATTTCATGTTTTTATATTACGGAAATCATGCATGGTCTAGTGCTTGCCATCCTCCTCCCAGCTAAAATACTAAGTTCTCCTTCAAAGAAGTTGTTCGCCAGTATGAACTAGAAAATTCGCAGATTGAGGTCTAAACAGGTATATTCACTTGCGTGTGACGTACTCAAATATCTTGGCCACAACTTGCATGACTTGATTTACATACTATTCTGGAGGAAAATATAACGCACATTACTTTTTGGAGCTCTTTTGAATGTCTTTAGTTCTCACAATGCTTAGTGTGGGTGTTTTTGAGTTGTAAGGCTATAAATGTGTGTTTGACGTAGTGATACAATGCATGTGCGTGATGTTGTTCTATGATCACAAAAAAGGTGGTTGTACTCGCAACACAACACTAAGGAGGTAGACAAAGCCAAAAAACACAGCTAAGAAGGATACTGAGGCAGCAAGTGTAGAGATTTGGGCATAGTAGATCTACAATCTCAGCACACTTGATGCGATCATAGCCAAACATGGAGTCCAAGACCCTCCCTAACCTAACAAGTGCTAAGATCACAACGACGTGTGTTCTCCTAGCAGTATCTACTGGAATCCAAGCCTAACAAGGTTGCAATCACTGCCATAATACTATGATTGCAACATACTTGTCCTAAGTCTAACCCTTATGTACTACAATTGCAACTCAACTTTCGTGGTGTAGTATCTCCCAAATTCTTCAGTTGTGATCACATCTATACATGTCAGGCGTAGACAAACTACAAATAAACCTTTTGTGAAATTTTTACACTTTCTATGTTTCCATACTAGGGCTTCTACCAAGAGGGGGTTAAAATATCTCCAAATTTCGTCCTACTGCAATGGTGAGTTAATTTGGACCATGTTATGTTATTCTAAACATAATAAGACTCACTTTTGACATCGAAGTCTTATTTACCTTAATGGTCAAATCACCCAAACCTTTCGTCACTCTTGCGTTGATCACAGCCCAAAAATGAATTCTAAAATTATAGGGAAAATTGCATCAGCTAACATCCCATAACATTTCTTTACCACTTTTCTAGGCCAACATTACAAAATTACCTAAAGTGGCCCAGTAATAACGCTCAAACTACTCTTCAAAACCAATTAAAAGAGTAAGTGGTCGTCGTCAATAAAAGTATCCAACTAAGAGTCGGGGTCAAATCCCATAGTTTAAATTCATTCAATTGCAGCAATAAAAACAAGTGGATGGACGATTCCACCAAATTTAATAAAAGGATTTAGTTATCAAAATTCACAATTAAGCCAAGATTCAATAATAAATTCAAATAAGTAACAAGTAATCTAGGGGTGCGGGGATTGAAAATCAATGTCACGTAGGGCTAATTATGTTTCTCGACAGTGATGAACATTCATGGATAGGCTTGGTCATCTTCAATGATATTAATCTTCTTTCAATCTCATAACATCATTTCATAGAATCTCCTTTCGATCTCATCTATGTGCTATATTGAACAACCCAATACCTTAAACTATTCTCTCTTTTGATGCAGTAATAGGACAAATAGATCCGACCCATAACCTCTATTTTCAAGCAAGTTACAGACATCAAACCTAAGTTGCAAGTATCAGACTAATTACTCACTCCAATCAATCTCTTTTGAGCATAAATCAAAGATCGAGAGTAGGAATTAAGCTTAACGCATAAGTTAACCCCATGCTAATTAACCCAAATCCATGTATGAACAACAACAAAATAGAGCATAACACAATATCCACTACATTAAATCAACACCCAACCCCATGATTGCACCCCCTAGATTTTGGGGTTTTAGCCACCCATCACAAAGAGTAAAGAAATTATACCTTTCATGAAAGAAGTCTAGCAATTACAAGCAATACCCACTTTGAATTTCAACTTCAAATTATCACTTTTAAGAGCAAAAGTTGAAAAACCCCAAAGACTAAAAGTATTCTTCACAAAGAAAGTCTTTCTCTCTCTAAGATAAGAATCATAATTCTCTAAATATTTTTTAGGACATAGAAACTCTAAACTCTCCACTTTCTCTTTCTTTTAGGTTATTTATAATTTTCTCAAAATTTGACCCAAAAATCAATACGTGACCCATTGGGCGACGTTAGTCGGGCTCGCCGATCATACTAGGCAAATCACCAGCAACTCTCCAGGTCGCCTTTCTATTGCTCTAGGCTTCAGGTGTTTGAACCTCAATCGGCGAGCTCGTTTGAGTCTGTCTTTCACATTTGGTGTATCACCAAGTACCACCTTTGTTCACCTTTCAAGCCTTCAATTTTTCTTCATGTACTGTTCCTTTTGACGAGGGTCAGCATGTTTGCCTTTCTCATTCGGCGAATCGCCATTCCCTTTTTGGTTCGTCGACCTGCCTCAATTAATTCAAGTGTTGTGCATTGTCTCTTTGAGTGAGGTCATACCCATTGGGCGATCTGCCCTTCTTTCTAGGCAATCAACAATATGGAGTTTACACTTCTTTTCATATTTTTGGTCATTCTTTCAAACATTCATCTTTGCCTTCTCCTTTAGCCATCATAGCTGAAATAATCAAAATATTATTAGAATATGACATAATTAGACATTGAGGACACTAATTGTTGAGCTAAATAGGCCTCAAATGAGTATAAATCTACCACTCATCAACACTCCAAACTTAAACTTTTGCTTGTCCTCAAGTAAATCAAGAACACAATCAGCTCAACAAGGGTGTCTACGACAGTTCTCAATGAGAGCTAACATGCAAGTGCCATTACAAGAGACTCTCAATAACATGCTACACTCAATCATGATAGAGAAGCTTCAAATGATCGACTAGCCGGTCTCAACACAAGCTCAAGCTTACTATAGCTTCTTTTCTAATGCAAGACCATATTATAACAAACGTATTCAAGTGCCCTCACATAAAGAACAATTCCATGCTCTCACAAAGAAAATCAATAAAGAAGGAATCAATGCAACTCTCACTCTCTCAAAAGAGAAATACATGCAAGGATTCATCCCATAGGTTTGCCTATATTTTCCAATCATCACACAACCTAGTTCATGCAATATCTCAAGGATCTTTTAGGCTTGTAATGAGGATGAGGGTTAAGGTATCGTCAATCTGGCATAGTGACTTCACCTTTTCAAAATATTGTTGCAATCATTTTCACCTCTTCTCAAGTTCTTTTTATTTATTTTCATTTGAGAACTCAAACTTTGATACTTTGATTTGTCAATCACTTTATTTGGAATTCCCTATATATATATATATACACACACACACTAGATAATGAAAGGCTCCTTACGGGCCCAATATTACAATTTTATATATGTTTATAATAGAAATTTGATTAGTTTTTTGAAAGAAAAATTATTATGATATTTTCAAATAAACATGATAGGAAATTATAATAAAATGTAATAGGTGTTTAACAAACAAAAATAATGACCTACTTGATGAAAATTAGAACGAATCATCTCATTCTTTACAAAGTGATAAAATGATGAAAAAAAGTTATGACTTTGTGTCTTGTCTTAATATTTATTAAAATTAGGAGAACAATTTAGAATAGTAAAGAAATAATTTTTTTAGAGTAATTAATATATATGATGAATAAATGTTTTACCTCAAATAAATGAGAATTTAAAAATATTAACAAAAGTTGATATAATATATACGACAATAATTTAGCATGAGGTAGTTAATATAATAATTTATATAACTTTCTTATAATGATTTTAACTAATGATAAACTAATAGTAATAAATAAATATATGTTTTTCAATCAATTATATAATGACATATATGTTACGTAAAGTTTTTGGATTATACATAAAAAGAAAAATCAAGTAAATTAGATACTTCAAAAATTGTCTTTACAATCCAAAAAAAGGAAAAAGCAACACCATGAAATTGAAAAGTCTAAAGAGAACCAAAGGAAATGACATAACATGCTCCGAAATTATTGAAAATTTTGTTCTTGAAGAGCTTGCTCAGTGGTTGCATTCCTTTTGAATTAGGCATTTTGAGAAACGCAATTGTGATTGATATTGGATTAAACATGCTAACTAATGCACTAGGATGTTTGAAAAGTGTGGAACAGTTGAATTTTGCTGAAAATAGGCTATATGGACAAGTCCCAAAAGTGATATGTCAACTAAGAAAATTGAATTTTACTTTTGTCTTATAATTAATTTACAAAAGTAGGGTCATTATATAGAGAATTGATCAAAACTGAAGTTCTTAATGTTGGAAAAAAACTGCATTATTGGTCTTCCTAATAAAAGATCTATGCCGGAGTGTATAATATTTAGGACACAAATTAGAAATAAAGGGCGAGAAATTTATTGGTATAAGACATGATAGGGAGAGAATTGAGGAGTGAATGAAATGAAGAATGAGTTAATGTCTAGTTATTGTGTCATAGACTTAGTTCTAGAAAATCTTATAATTTATAGTTTCTAGAAAAGTTATGTAACTTGTGGAGGAAATTTACCCACTTGAAAAAATATTTTAACAAGTTTAAAAATATAATTTATAGAGCTTTAAAATGAAATATATATGAAATGGCCATATTACCCTTGATCATCCTCAACTTCACATTTCTATATAATTGAAAAATATCAAGTTTTGATCCGGCAACTTCAAATTTTTAGTAAGCATAATGAATAAAAAAATTATTAGGAATTAATTAAAGTAATAGTACAATAGAGTAATGCATAGATATCACCATAACCCATAAAAGAAAAGAAAGTGAAGTGATAACAAAATGAGTTAATAGTACTAACAATAACTAAAGATGTTTCTAGAACTATTTAGTTTTCGTGTTATTATTCTTGGTAGATTTTTATTAGCATGAAATTACATTTTTACCCTTGATAATCATTCACTTCATATACAGAAAGATGTTTCTAGAATTATTTGTTTTTCTTGCTATCTTTCTTAATAGATTTTTGTTAGAATAAAATTACATTTTTATCCTTGG